TTGGGTAAGGACCGCCTAGCAGAGTAGTAAGCTCTGGGGGTGTCTGTGAGTGATTGACAGACCTCCAGCTGAGAGGGAAGACCTGCCCCAGATGTGCGTGGCACAGACCAATAGGCTTGTAGCCTCGACAGAATAAAAAGGGAAAGAAGAGGAAGTCTGCCCCATTGGAGGAGCTCTGGTCTTTACCATCACCTTTGACCATTGGTTTCCAGGTCCTTCAGGCTTCCCATACCAGCCCTCCAGCCCCCACTGCAGACCTTTGGCTTTCTGACACGGACACCTACAAGACTGCAGTGAGCTCCAGCCTTCAGCCTTCAAGGGCGACTGGGTCCTCCTGCTGTCCAGAGCAGGAGTGTTGGATTCTTCCGTCTCTGGTGCCACAGGTAGCCGTTAGGACTCTTCCTCCTCTCCTGTAGAGTTTTCCATGCATTTTGTATTGAATCCTCTAGTGAACCTAACCAGCATGGTCCCGGACTGTATGACTCTACCTGCGTGATGTTTTGGAAAAGGCAAAACTATGACGACAGTGAGAAGATCCACGGTCACCAGGGCTGGAGCACAAGCAGGCAGAACATGGGCTGCTCCGGCAGTGAGGCCATGCTCCATGGCGCTGTAACCGTGGAACCTGGTCGTTGCACACTTGTCACACCCTGGGGCGCGCCGCTCCAAGCACAAACCCTGGTGCAAGCTGGCTCTGTGGGTGCCGAGCGCATGCAGGCCTTCGGTGGTGACAAGCGTCCCAGTGTGAGGATGTTGACGGTGGAGGCGGCTGGGCGGTGGGAGGCAGGGGCATGGGGACTCTTTCTGTTCCTTCTGCCCCATCTACCTGTGAGCCTAAAACTGCTCCAGAGATAGTCTCTACATATTTTTAAAAAGAGCTTCAGCGACTTTCCCGTCGAGGGAAATAGTGTTTGTGTGTTTTCATTTTTGCTCTTCTTAGGAGGAAGCCCGAGAGCCTCCCTGGCCCTTGTTGCACCCCCACCCCCGAGCTTGCGGCAGCTGTGCTCTTTCTGTCTTCGCTTACCTCCCCTCCCCACCCTACTGACCTTGTCCTTGGCCAGCGCCACCGCATCTGTGCTCAGAACGCCTCACGCAGCAGGAACCTGCACTCGGCGTCTGGTTCCTCCACCTCCCATGTCGCCCGTGCTCCACACACCTTCGCAGCGCGTGGGAGGCACCGGCTGGCGCTGTCGGTGTTCCGAGCGCCGACCCTGTTGTTTCAGCATGCGTCTCAGCTGACACACTCTCTCCTGGCCCTCGGAGGCACAAGGGTCCTCACCCCTTGCATCGGCACAATGAGGGGCCTCTGGGGAGCTGCTGTCACTCCCCGCTCTCCTGTCTGTAGAAGATGGGACCTGGTGTAGCATGGATGCTGCAGCTCACGGGCACCAGAGGGCAGCGGATGGGGCGGTGCCCTGGTTTATTACCAAGGCTTGAAGTTTTCATTCACTCAAAATGCGCGCTGGACGCTCTAGGAGTTACGAAAGTGTGAAACACAGCCCTGCTCTCAAGGAGTCGGTGGATTGTGTAAGTGTGGATGGTTCTTGTCTTGGGCTCTTTGAGTTTTCGATGTTGGGAGGCGATACACATTCGGTAGAAACTGTACTCTGGATTTCGAGCTCGGATCTTGCCCAGCAAGCGACGTGATGTGGGGGGAGGTGGCTGCCAGGCGGCCTCAGTGAGGCGCAGCTCTCGGCCAGCCCCATGAGCACAAGGGAGTCCACAGTGTCTGACTGCTGTGCTGCAAAGGCAGGGCTTGGTGGACGAGGTGTGTTGAGCACGTTTTTGATATTTTCAGCTCTTTGTGGGTTTATTGGATGTAGCCCCATCGTAAGGCAGAGTCTGAGCTCCGCTGTGGTCTCTATCCAGATGTCCCCCAGGGGACTGGCGCAGTCAGAGACGGGGCTTTTGGAGGTGATTGGATTTGGGGCATGGTAGCTGACTTGCTGTGAGGAGGTGCAGCCCGGTCAGGGAGGCAGGTCACTGCGTGACCCGCACGAGTCTGTCTCCCTTCCAGCTCTCTGCTCTGTTCCTGGCTGCCATGATGTGAGCAGTTTTCCTCTGCCCAGACCTTTCGAGCATGCCCTCCTGCCTTGGACTCAGCCAGCTATGGACTAAAACCTTGAGCCCAAACGAACCCCTCCTCCTTTAATGTGTGGGTGTCAGGCGGTGTGTCTAGCAAAGCTGTAAAGGGCACGGCATCCCTGAGCATCCCTGGGTCACAGCCCAAGGACAGCGAGGCTCTGGATGGAGCTGGAGTCCGCGCTCGCTGCAGGCAGAGCAGAGGACTCAGCCAGCAGGCCAGGAGAGACAGACAGGCGAGCAGGGCTCTCCAGGAGCTGAGGGGAGGGCAGGCTTGCAGGGATGCTCTCAGAGCAGGCCTTCCTCAGGCTCAGATGCCAGCCCCACTCGGCCGCTCCTGGCCAACACAGCACAGAGAGGCCCAGGCCCTGGCCGCCCCGCCCAGCTCGCCTGGCCAAGCTCTGGACCGATGGGCTGCGGTGAGGCACGCTCTGCAGCCAGGGGATAGGAGAGGAAATGAGCCAATCACCTCAGCCCCCACATCCGAGCGGGTGCGGTGCTGACCCCTGGTGGACGGTGATTGTCATTTGCTCCCAGCCGTCCATCCCGAACCCCCATGTGTGACTCCAGGCCTCCTTGCTGATGATTTCTGAAGCTGTGCGAAGGACTTGCAGCCAGAGCTGCAGTGGGGTCTTTGTCTGAGCCCTCAAGATGCAGGAGAATTAGGGATGGCGGCCCTGAGTGGATCCCAGGCTGAGCTGGTCACGGCCCTCACTGTGCCCCTGACTGCCAGCCGCGGGCAGTGTGTTGAGAAAGTGTGCCGGGAGGGAGGGGCATTCTCAGGGGGCTGCCCTGGAGCCGTCCAGGAGCCCACGCTGGCCCTGGAGGCTGGCAGCACTGGCGCTGGAACTGCCACGATTGGGGGCTCTTTATGAAGCGCCCGCTGAGCCTGGCAGCTGCACGCGCATCTAATCCTCACGGCACCAGGGAGCTGGGAATCGTTTCTCTGGTCATGCTCACGGCCCGTCGACAGGGCCTGAACGGAGTGTGGATCCCCGCACAGCACCCCCCATGCTCCGTCCAGAGCCGCATGCCACAGCGCACCGTGGGCCTGGGGGTGCGGTGACTTGAGCAGCCGGTCACCAGCCAGGCAGGAGAACAACAGTCCAGGAACAAACCTGTGTGCACTCACAGGGCCGTGGGGACAGCCCTGGCTACTTCCTTAATCCCGCTGTGGCCCGTGGGGACATGGGGAGCGGCTGCTAGCCGAGAGCCCAACAGCTTTTTGCATGGAATCCGAACGTATATGAGGCGTGCATATACGTGGCGGCACACGCGTGGCTCCCATCCTCACAGCTGGATCTCGGTGCCCTCTCGTGTCTGGCTCACCTGACTCATGCCATACAGTGCCCTCCAGGTGCCCAGTGGCAAGGTTTCCTTCTTTTATAACAGCTGAGTAACACCATGGTATGTGGAGCCCTCACTTCCTCATCCGTGCCCATCAGGGACACTGCTACGCCTGTCCCTCAGGAGGGACCTCCTCCCTGAGAGTGGCCCGCGCCCTGAGCACCCAGCAGTGCGGGGGACCCCGGAGCTCTGCAGCCACAGTGCCAGCCCGAATCCTCACTGGGCTGGGCAGATGGGAGGGCACTGAGGAGCCCCTGGCCAGCCACACCAGCTGCCCACATGGGCAGGACCTTCCCCAGAGCCCTCTGCCTTACCCCGGCCTCTCCTAGGACGTGCCCCAGACACAGGGGCAGAGTGTGAGCTCCATTTGTGGGACTGGAATCCGCGGGGTTGTGTGGCCCCCCCCAGCACAGGCAGCAGCTCAGATGACAAGGGACAGTGAGCACATCAGCCAAAACTCAGACCCTGCCGCTCGGAGCCTCGGTTTCCCCACCTCTAGGAGAGCCAGTCGTTTGTGGGGTGAGAGGGTGCTGTCCCTCGGGGCCATCCTGCCCAGCAGCTTCGGTGGCCACTCTGACCTAGGTGTTCCTGTGTGTCCATGGGGCTGGCGTGGGGGGTGTCCACAGGGCTCTTGCTTGGCCCAGGGCAGGGCTCAGACATCTGCTGTTAGTTCAGTTTGCTTGTTTAGTCCAGCCTGAGTCTCACTGGTCGCCACTGTGTGGGCTTGGGGCCAGCAGCGCTGGAATTTTCAGGTCCCTTCTTCCCTGAAGAGCAAGCATCCATGTTGTTCATTTCCACGTCCTCCAGGAAAGGGAGGTCCTTGTCCCTTGGCATGAACAAGGGAGTGGGCATCCCACCTCTGGCATGGCCACCTCCCCGGTCCAGAGGCAGGACACCAGGCGCAGGGTCAGGGTGGGAAACTGAAACCAGCCCTCCTCCTGGGCACCGAATGTTACACATCCTCGGTCAGAGCAGCCTCCGACACATTGAGCTGGGCGGAGGCTGGCAGAGGTTCGGTGACCTCAGGTGGCCTCAGCGTGTAGGTGGCTGCAGCTCCTGACTCACCTCTCGGGCCTCGGGGTGTGGGAGGCGGGGCCTGGTCCAGGTGAGGTGCTAGAAGTTCCCCGTCCCTTGCTGACCAGACCTTAGGGGGGCACTGGGGTCTCAGACTGGGCCACTGCCTCAAGAGTCAGTCCCTGGTGACCTCAGCCTGCAGGACCAGGCATGGGGTAGCTGCACCTTTCAGTAAGGATTTTGTCCATAAATATCTTCATTTTATTTACTAAGCTGTCTGGCACATAATAGCATGCATTGTGAATAGGGTAGTTTAATGCATCCCTTAAACAAGGACACTCCTTGCATTGCAAGACAAACTCCTTTCACACGTGCTTTACTCTGCCGTGTGACAGAGCCTGTGCTCAGAACACTAGGGCAGGCTTCTGTCTGACTTGATTCGAGGACAGAAGTGGGCCGTGTCCCCCGACGCTGCAGGCTGCCTCCCCCAGATGGTGCGTGGCTGGGGGCTCCTGCTGCCCGAGCCTGGGGTTCTGACACTCTTATTTCCCCCACTGCCCAAGTCTGCCCACTGCCTCCCACGGTGAGTCATGGCGATTTCATCTGCCACCCACGGCCTTGCGAGCACTACAACCACGGCACGGTGGTGGAGTTCTACTGCGACCCCGGCTACAGCCTCACCAGCGACTACAAGTACATCACCTGCCAGTACGGGGAGTGGTTCCCTTCCTACCAGGTCTACTGCATCAAGTCCGGTGAGTGCACCCCGCCCCAGACGCGTGGGGCACAGGCCGAGGTACGGGAGCACCAACCTGCCCACTCCCGGGTCGGAGGGCTGCCCTCAGAGCAGGGTGCCCAGGCCTGGCACCGAGGAAGAACCTCCGCCACGGCACCGATTTCCCCAGCCTGGGCCCCTCCGTGTGCACACTCGGCCCAGTGTGTCTGGAGTCCTGCACCCAGCAGGCCTGCACACCCTGTCCCTAGAGCACGCGGATCCACCACAGATAGCCCCTTACATGTCCCTGTGAGCCGCAGGGGGCGTGCAGAGTCTACGTGAGGCCCTGCGCTGACGAGGGAGGTGGGAGGCGGGCACTGTGGAGGGTGCGGGTCTGCTCTGGGAGGGCTGCTCTTGCTGGCCCTTGCCCGGAGGATACTGGGTGTGCAGAGGACATGGGGAGGGGCCCCCAGGATCCCCTCTTCCCTGCTGTGCCCACCCTTCATTGCCACAGACAGAGCAAGCCCGAGTGTCCCCTGGATCCCCGCCCAAGGTCCTACTCCCATGGCCAGGGCCAGGCAGGGGAGTGGGCCCCTTCCCTCCCACCCGCCCCTGGCTCTGTGCCCGGCTCTGTGCCTGGTTCTTACGCTAGGCCTATGTGTGGCCCTAACAAGATGCCCAGGAGTTGTGCAGGATTCTAGACGTCCCCGCCCACAGGTGTCTTCTGCACCAGGCATGACCTAGGCAGACACCAGGCTGGCGTTGAGGTCACCGACCCTCACGCCCTCGCCGTTCTCTCTTGGCAGAGCAAACGTGGCCTGGCACGCACGAGACCCTCCTGACCACCTGGAAGATCGTGGCGTTCACAGCGACCAGTGTGCTGCTGGTGCTGCTGCTCGTCATCCTGGCCAGGATGTTCCAGACCAAGTTCAAGGCCCACTTCCCACCCAGGTGGGCGCAGGGTCCCGGGCAGCGAGGCGTCCTGTGTCATTTGGGGGTTGTCTGGGCTCCCTCAGTTCCCTCTGAAGCCATCTGGAAGGGGTGCAAGTCAGAGCTGCAGGCTGTGCCCCCAGCCAGGAGGGTAAGACACCAGCAGGACCAGGCACGGGACAGCCCAGGTGTGTGTGTGTGGTGGGGGTAGGATGGGACGAGCTGCAGGGGCTGATGGGAGGGCGGCTCTCTTCCTCCGAGGCGCCACAGGCTTCGGTGGCAGCTTCACCCCATGCTGTTCTCACCCTTTGAGACCGGAGGCTTCAGGGCAGTGTCCTTGTCCTTGCCTCTCCCAGGACGGGCCTGCCCCAGGTGGTGTGAACCCCTTCCGAGAAGGGGATGTGCTTGGGAGGGGCGTCCTGACCCCTCCGCCTCAGCCAGAGGTCCTGGCCCGCCCGGGTCCCCTCCCTTCCTGATGTGCCCAGCAGAGCAAAGGGCCCCAGCTCTGCCCGCCATGCTGCTGCCCCTGGGTCCAGGCTGGGTATGTTGGACACAGTGCAGCAGGCGTGGACAGCAAGCACACCTTCGGGATGGCACAGGGCACGGTGAGGGCCCCGGGTGCGAGGGGCGGGCTCGGTGTCCTCGCTGCCTGTTCTCATCCCCACTGCTGTGCTCTGCTGCCTGGTGTAAAGGGAGGGAGCGATCTGCAGTGCAGAAGGACGCAGACCAGGAGCCCCACACGCTGGCGAGCTGACCCTGGCACCGAGGGTCCTGGCTCCCTGGACACATGGGGACTGTTTCCAGAGGCACAGCTGAGGGAGCTCCGTTGGACAGGCCACATCCTGTGCTGCCCCTGCCACGGTGGGAGAGGAGACTGGGTCTTCCTCCCCACCTTCCCTGGGCCCTCCTACCCACCGTGCCAGAGCCGCAAGTCTGTGAGCAATGCTCTGACGAGTGATTGCCATTTCCTGTGCACAGGGGACCCCCCAGGAGCTCCAGCAGTGACCCTGACTTCGTGGTGGTGGATGGTATCCCCGTCCTGCTGCCATCCTACGACGAAGCCGTGAGCAGTGGCGCCAGTGCCTTAGGCCCCGGGTTCCTGGCTGCTGTGGGCCCGGGCTGCCCTGTGCCCGTGGATGACCTGAGCCCCCCCGCCTACCCCGGGGACGAGGACATGGGCACAAGGGACTCATCAGAGACCTATGACAGAGCCTCAGGCTCCTCTGAGCTGATCCAGAGTCTGTGCCCGCCTCCCCCAAGCCAGGCATGTGCCTGCCCCGCCCTCGAGGACCCTGCTGCGGCAGCTGGCACCAGGGAAGCAGCGTCTACCAGCCCAGGCATCGACATCTCGGACGGTGAGTGCCTGGGCCCTGCTCCTCGAGCACGGAGCGCGGCTGCAGCTCCCGGTGGCGGGGAGCGTGTGGGGGTCCTGAGGGCGCTGCCGGGCAGCTTCACAGGGAGACCCCTGACGCCAGGCGGGGTGGGCACAGACTGGGGTCACCACACCACACTGCCCACCTACACCTGGATTTGTGACTCTTTAACTTATGTCGACCAGAGCCTATGGTTAAAGTCTAATATTTCGTTTCATTTTTATTATTTGTTTTATCGGTATGTGTTTGCAGAACATGTTTACATTCTGCATCACGTAACACATCTTAATTCCTTTTGCAAATCTCCCATCCCTCCTTCCTTCTCCCTCTCTGACAATCACCATCGTTTTCAGCAAATAGATGCTGTGCAAGGGAGTTGGTGTATTTGATTCTTAATAGGTCCAGGGAACTTCACATTTTCTTCTCGCTGAGATCTGGAACTGCAGATATTCTCATAAGACTCGTTTTCCAACGCCCGTGTGTCTTCAGCTGCGTGGAGCTGGTAACCCCCGCTTCCTTTACAGAGATCCCTCTGATGGAAGACGGTCCCTAGGGGCGGAGGCCCGATGACGCCACTGCCCCTCTGGGAAGGCACCAGGATCTGCAGAGCAAGGCTGCCCACGGACAGAGCCCGGGCGCGGGGCACTGTCTAATGCATCTACGTGGGGCGCGACTCCGCGGCCCACCTGACTCGCTGCCAGGCCGCTGCTGTTCAACCAGAGTCGGGGAGGTGCCAGGACCGGTGGGGTTCGAAGCCCAGGGTCCCCGAGCTGTCGGGCCGGCGCGGGGCGGGCCCACTCCACACGCCCGCCGCTCACCCTGCGGACTGGAGCCCCGCCGAAGCATGTCCGCTCACATGGTGTACATTTGCTGTCCACGTCCGCCTGGCCGCCGGGAGCCATGCCGCGCCGCCCGGGGGTGCAGGCGCTCGCCCCTCCCGGGGGCCCCCTCTGCCCGCGCGGGGAGGACGGAGGGGGCTGCCGCCTTCAGAGCGGCGTCTGCGGCTCCGGCCTCCGCCCCTCCCGGGGGCCTTGTCCGCGGCCCGCTCCAAGACGGAACCAGGCTTTATTTTCCAAGACAGAAATTGTCTCGGAAACATATTCTGCCTCCAAAGACGCGTGAAGCTGAGTGGCTCCTTCTCCCCCTTTCCCGCGTCCTGCAGAATGGGCGGGCCTGTCCCCGCCGCGCCGACCTCGGCCCCTGACCGGCACCCCCTGGGTCACAGGCCCCAGCCGAGCGCCTCCCGCCCGCGCTGCGCTGCGGGGTCGGTCCCTTCCCTCCCCCGGCTTTTAGAACTCGGATCCGTAACTTCCGAGCGGGCACCCGCGAGGCCCGAGCTCCATCAAGTCTTATTTTTTCTCGACACAGACAGATTAAAAATTAAAAAGGAAATGATGGTGCGAAGCGCGTGGTGGTGGTGGGGTCGGCGGTGGGGGGACAGGGTTGGTAGGGGAGGGGAGGGGCGGGGCGGGGGGGGGGAAGGGAGAGATGGTGGAGGGGTGGGAGCCAAGTGCAGGGTGCTGACCAGGAAGTGGAAGGGGCCAGCAGGAGAGGCTGTCAGCACAGCCGGCCCTGGGACCCTCGGGTGCTGAGCTCCTGCCCGGGCGCAGGAGGGTACAGCTGGCCGGGTGACTCCACCTTCACGGCAGGAGCCGGGCTCGCAGGGGTGGGGTGGGGGCGGGAGGAGGGCCTGGGCACTGGGCGCAGGGAGCCTCAGCCCCACCGGGCCTCCCTCCACGCCCTACACCAGGCCATCTCCAGACCACCGGGGAGCTGCCCCCCACCTCCCGCAGGGCGCCCCGCCTCTTGCCAGCAGTTGCCTCTCCTCCACCCTGGCAGGGCTGCCCTGGAGAGACGGGTCCTGTCCCCCCCGCGCCGAGGAACCCGTGTCACCAGGGCCGGGGGCAGAGGCTCGGCTGTGGCGTTGGGCGCTGTACGCTCCAGACCTCTGGGCTCCTGCACTTGAGGCCACGGCAGTCTCCCCACAAACGTCACTGGCTTCCGTCACCACGGCGAGCTGTGAGGCAGGAAGACTCCAGCTCAGCACCCAGACTCGGGTTTCTTTTTGAAGACCCAGGAGGCCAGGCCCAATGTCAGGTGTCTTGTCACCCCAGCACTGTGGAGGCTGAGGTGGGAGGGTCTCAACTTCCAAGCCCCTGCCCCACTCAAGTGCCCGTGCCCCTCCTGCACGGGGAGCCAAGAAGCGCCGTCCACAGGCCCGGCCTGAGGTGCCCGCTGAGTCCACCCCGAGGGGCCGCAGGCCAAGTCCTGGCCAACGTGCTCGTCTCGGGCACAGCAGGAGCTGCAGGCGTCGTCACACCTCAACTCCTCGCAGCTTTTTAACCTGCAGGGCTGAGGTTTGCTGTGTGGGTCCACAGGTCCTTCCCAGCGCCCTGTCCAGCCTGAGGGCACCGTGGAGGCCCCGGCCCTGGCTGCTCCTTTCCTGCACGGTGTCTCCAGCTGTTTCCTCGACAGGCAGCCGGTGGCCTGGCGAGCATGACTCCTGCCCCTGCCCAGCCGTGTGCCTGGGCCCCGTGGCCTCCAACTGCAGCTGTCAGTAGGAAGTAGAGGCGGCCGAGGAGGCTGGGGACGCATGCCAGCCGCTGGCGGCTCGTGTGTGGGAAGAGAGTCCTGGGTGTGACCGCTGCCTGCCTCGGCCCTGTCGCTGCCTAGTCTATCTACAGGCCAGGCCTGCTCGGGGCCACCCCACGAGGTGCTGCTGTCCCTGTCCTCCCAGCGCTGCCCTGGCTCCCGTGCTTGGCTGAGCAGCCATCAGTGCCAGGAAGGTGGCGCCGGCACAGTGCCGTCAGAAAACCAGGGAGGACACTGCGCAGCGCTGTGCCTCAGTGGGGACCGTCCCGGGCTGCAGGTGTCCCTGTGAGACCCTGCACTAATGAATGGGAGCCAGTGACCCGCCCTGCTGAGCCGCTGGTCCCCAAAGCCCTCACAGACCCCGGATCCCAGCAGGTGCAGAGCCCAGGCCAAGGCGGAGGCGAGGGGAGTGAGGTTCACCCTCTGCCGGAGCCATGGGAGGCGCTCAGGGCACCGCTGCCCAGCTGCAGCTCTGCCCAGCTGGCTGTGTCCTCCCAAGGCCAGTGGGCTGGGAAGCAGGAGGACGTGACACAGCCACATGTGGCCTGCAGGGATCTAAGTCACGGGTGAGACCCGAGCGTGTGTTCTTGTCCCCAGCTCCTCCCTTCTGTCTGCTCCCTGGCTGCCACGAGGTGAGCGGCGCTCCTCCACCAGGCCTTCTGCTGTGACATTTCTTCCCTGGGGCCGGCTGGCCATGGACTGCACGCTCTGAAGCTATGAGCCGAAATGAACCTCTGCTCCTTCAGTTTGGTCTGTCAGATATTTTGTTAGATCCTGTGTCTGTGGTCACAGATCAGGACTCGCTATGGCCCTCCTGGGGTTGGACTAGGGGCCCAGGTCCAGCCCTCCTCCAGCACTCACTCACCAGGGGGAAGGAAGGTTGAGTATTTCCCATCCCCTTTTGACCTCACCCTGGGTGCTCTTCTGCCCCTAGTTCCACTCTCCCGGACCAATCCTCCGAAATGTCAAGTGAAAACAAAGCCTTCTGAGGCTTCCAAGGCCCTAGGGTCAGGCAGACCCCCGCTGTCAGGGTTGCCTCAGCCAGGACCCTCCTTGTAGGGTGCTGGGGGAGACGGGGCTGAGCTTTCCCCCCCTTTATGCCTGAGCCGCTACTTCTGGCTTTTTCTGCAGTCTCCTGCTGGGGCTGCCTTGCTCTGCTCTGCTACCCTCTACCCCTAATGGGGAGAAAAAACAGAACGGCTAACGACAGGGACAAGTTGCTCACCACAGAGCCTGGGCTGGGCCACGCCAATGTATTTGTTCTGTGTCCCTGACAGCTGCAAGGCCGGTGTTTGTGAACACGTGGCTGGCTCTTCCGCAGACTGGGAGCTCCTGTCCTTCATTGTCTTGCTCGTTTACATTTGTTTGTAAATATACGACTAAGTAATGTCTCTCCAAGAGAAAGATATGGACCCCTTCCCTGTGGCATGCTGGAAGCAGGCTCCCTCCTTTATACTTGCTTCACAGTTTTGCTCATGGACTTGTCTTGTCCTGCAAGTGTGTGGTCTCTGCACGTGGATTATAGCTCCCTTTTATTGACGGCTTCTGGGGTTCCTACCTGGCGTCGCAGCCCTGCCTCCCGAGGTTACGTAAACACACCCTGCAGTTCTCCTGAAGAGATGAAGGTTTCATTTTGACATGCAAGTCTTTAGTGAGCACGGATTTTGTTTTTGTTTATGGTTACAGCAGAGTCATTTATTTTGGAAGGAATTCTTATTTTGTCCCATGTTTACCCCAGTTAATTCCTCCTCCTTTCTATGGATTAGCTCTGTCTCCAAGCCATGTGAATGCAGCAGTGACAGCAGGAACTGTCTTTTTCTTGGATCAGTAGAAGTGACTTCAGCACTTTTCTCTTTAGTAAAATGCTTGCTCTTGGTTTTCAGCAAATGGTGTTTACTATGATTAAGTAGTTTCTATCTGTAGACACCAAACAGCCTCTTAGGAAAAATACATGGCTGTTGGACACGCCAGCGAGCTGCTGAAGCCCACGGAATTGCCGGCATAAATTCGGAAGCATGGATCGTACTGCTCTGCAACAGTGAGAAACTTATAAAATACTTTCTGTGGTTAGAGAATTTATCCCAGGAGAAAAGCAGGGTCGCTGTGGGGAGGCCCAGGCTGCCCCGCTGTGGAGGGGCCCGTGGCCTGCTGTGCGGTTTCCCCCACACCACACTGCAGCCGGTCTCCAGCGAGGGCTCAGCAGGCGGGATGGGTGGGGGGCCGGGGCTGCAGCACAGAAGAGTGCGAGGATACACCTGCAGAGCCGCTGGCCGTGCAGTGCAGTGGTCGCGCTGTCCCCTGCTGCGTCTCCCAGCGGAGCACAGTCCCTTCCCTTCGCCCAGCAGAGCTGTGGGTCAGTGAGCAGGTGGCCGGGCACAGCCTGCTCGGCCCTTCCCCTGCTCACCGAAGGCTTCCTAACTGGCCTCTGATGCTGTCGCTGCTTTTTATTTTTATCCTGTTCTTTTATTTTCAGCACTAGGGACTGAACCTAGGGCCTTCACACTGAGCTACATCCCTAGCCTTTTCTTTATGTTTTATTTTGAGACAGGCTGGACTCAAGCTTGCAGTCCTCCTGTCCTAGCCCTCCGGAGGGCGGGGATTGTAGCTGCACCACCTGCCTGGCTCCATCACTGTTTTTATGTTAGCCGTTCGCACAGGAATCTCCTCTCAGTCAGCCCTCAGCCCCGCCCTGGCAGGTCTGGTCTCCCATTTCCTCTCCATCCTTCAAAATCTTGTTTGTTTTGCACAAGCAGTCTAGCGTGCACGGGAGAAAGGGGAAGCACATCCACTCTGCGGTCCCAGACTGAAGCATGCACACGCACACACGTCCACAAACACTGACACATGTACATGTGTGCACACGTACAGACTTTGATGTTGGCTCTGGGAGCCCTGCTCTTCACTCACCCCCACTCCTCGCCCTCTGTGTCCTCTCTCGGTGTCCTGGCTCCCTGCAGCCCCACGCTCCCCTTTCCTAGGTACCTTTCTTGCCCCCCCACCCCGCAGCGTTCCTCACAAGGCAGAGGAAGAGTCTGGACTTCAGCAGCTGTCTGGAGCCCCTCAGCCCCCTGATTCGGCCTCCTGAGCTCCCTGCCCATGTGAGCTCCAACACCTGGGCTCCAGGCTGCCAGAGCTGAGAGCCTGTGGTGCCCGCCATCCTGCAATCACGCCTCGCTGGCGTATGGTGGGTGACTAACTTACCCTCCGATCTCTGGTGAGTGTTGCTTTCTGTCCTCCATGTTTTATTCTTTGAAGTTCTGATTGATTTCTTACATCTCCTCTTCACCTGCGTGACTTCTTTTCTCATTACCTGGGATCAAAGGCACTGCCTTGATCGTGAACATCTCCAGCACACCTCGGCAGCTTCTGACCCGTCTGGCCGCCTGCATCCTTACCTGGACCCCTCGGTCCTGCTCAGAGTGAGGCTCCAGGGGAGGTCACTGCAGAGCTGGTGCTTCAAGGCCATCACCTCACCTGCTGTCCCTGAGGTTCCCAAAGGCGAAACCCGGGCTGATAGGTGTTTGCTTTTCTAACCCTCTCCGTAAGAAATCTGTGCAGGGCATCCGCCTGCGTGGAGAGGTGATGACTGCACTGCACTTGCCGAAGGGTAAGGCCACATGGGTATGCACCATGCGGAGGCACAGGCTGCCTTTAAGTCATAATTTGCATTTTCCCCCTGTGCAGCCATTTATCTGGGGATATTAAATCTCTATGAACGTGGGGCGCTCTCACTTTGCATTGTATAAATGGGCTCTGGCTGAAACCACGTAGCTCAGGCAGATTTCTGAAGTGGGCAACAT